ACACATTAGATAACATCCAAGTATCTCTTTAGTATTCTTGATTGACCTAAACTTTTGCACCAGGGTTCTTTGCCGTGTCAGTCAAATTATTTATAAACATTTCCTGTGCAGATTTACTGTCATTATGTACTTACTGTTGCTGCTTATTTATTTTATTATAGGATATGATACCTTTATCTTGGTAGTATCTGTACATATAAATTTCTTATTTTCATAGACTGAAATGTTTTCTTTATTCTAATAATGTTGGTTATCTTTTAAAATCACAGAATCAAATATGAACTTAAATTTAGAATCATGAAATTAAGTATGAACTTTGTATATTGTGTTTAAAAATTATTCGGTCAGTAGTGTTTTTCATAAATAAATGAAATCAGTTTAATATAACTTCCAAGCCACATCTTTTCCGTTTAAGATTATCTTTAAATTTATAGTTTGTAACTATATAAGCGGCAGCCATGAAATCTAAATAACCAAATTTGGATTTTATGTAGGATCAGTATCTTTCATTCCTTTTACCTTCTGTCTTTGTCAAGGAATTCAGGACTCTGTCTTCCAAAACAATAGTAATAGCCACTATTTATTGAGGGCTCCTCCGTCTCCTGCATGTCAGGTCCATTATTTTTGTTTTTAACTCACATGGCATTCCTGCAGGACAGGTGAATAAATCCTCATTTTACAGATGAGAAAACTACAGTTCCAAGAGGTTGACTTGCCCCAAATCCCAGAGCTTTCTGTTGCCAAGAACGAGGAGACAGGCCCGAGGGTGTGCTGCTTCTGCTGTGTGGTGTTGCTCTGGACTGTTGTACATGGTCAAGTCCAGCTTGGAATTAAATTCTGAACCCAGCCATGTAAAACGTCATCTCATTCTATGTTGAGAGTCACGTAAACTTGCCCCTGTCTGTTCATGACATACTGCTTTCCAAAGATTCCATGCAACATCATAGAAGAAACCTAAAGTTTTCCTTGTTCTCTTCTTCTTTTTAAATGGATGTAAAAACTAGCAATAATATTTTGTGTTCTAATAATTTTTCTTTTGAGGAAATAGTTTAGTTTTGATTTGGTTCATTTTGAGGATTTTTTTTATTTACATTTATAAAGTACACCCTTTATTTTCAACATAATGCAATGAATGAATGAAGCATCTTTAAGAGGTCAGTTTATTAAGAACCTTGCCTTCCAGCCTTCCTCAGTCACACTAAGTTGCCTGTGTTATTCACTACTTGACAAAAAATAGCTCAGCAATAGCTTCTTTCTTTCTCATGCCAAGGTTCACAGGCTCCGTTGTCATGTGTATGATTTGTCTCTGTAGTTCCTTCACCTTTTTCTCACTCTTCTTCTCGTTGTGGGGATCCCACCACCATACCTAGAGTTTCTAATGCCTTGTGGATCTCATTCCTGCTCTATGATCACACACACACACACTGGTACCTGTAAACTCATTAGTTACCTGTGCTTGTGAGGCCGTGTGTCTTACAGAGACCTTGATCTTTAGAGTCAGACTGACCTGGCTTCAGACCACAGCTCTATCACTTACTAACTTTGGTACCAAAGGAAACTTACACCATCTCTCTGACCCTCGTTTTCCTTATCTCTAGAATGTAGATTATAATACTAAACTTTGGAATATTGAAAAGATTATATAAAACAAGGTACAAAAAGTGATTAACACAATACCCTGTTTTCTTACTGCTTATTAGTGTTGGTGGGGTGACTCTTTACTGAAACTCATGCACACTTGTTTTTTAATCTGTATACTTTTATGATATCTGTAATTATGCCATGCCAGACATTTTCCTCCCGTAAGCGAATTTTAGACATTTACTTGTGAAGAAGACAGGTGATCCTGTGGCCTTGGCTAGCTTTTTAGAGGTGTCTGGGATTGGCAGCGGAGGAGAAGGCATACATGCGGTCCACAGTCTTACTTCCCTTTTAACCCCTTTCTCTTGGTGAAACCACATTGCGTGTTGGGGAGAATCTCACAAACTTCTGGAACTGAGGAAGCCTGGGACCCTCCTCCCTGCACCTTGGGCCTAACCTGTTCTCTACCCAGACTGCCATCTTGCTTGACCCCCCTCTAGGCGATCTCTGTACGAGTACAGGTCCTATTCAGGGTCACCTGGCCTCCCAGTTTTCTGCCCTAAGGCTTCCTTTACAAATCTCTAAGCTTTCTGGAAGTATGATACTTCAACCAGCAATATAGTATGTTTTTTTTTTTTAATTTATAGTTTTTTTAAAAGCTACTACCAGCATAGCTTTTAGCTAGCTCCTACACAGGATACCAAAACAAAGTGTAAAGTAGTAAGACAGTTTTTTTTTTTTTTGGATACAGTTAAAGTGAGGACATGTGATCAAAACTTAGGTGTAAATAAAAGGCTGAATGTCACAAGTTGGCCAAGTTAGCCAAGTTGGAGTAGGGAAGGGGTAATGGAGGTGAGATCAAAGGAAAGAAGGATGCTGCCCAGCTGGGAGAAATTTAGAAACTGAGATCTGAAATAGCATTTGGTCTAATTCTTCAAGAATGTCAAGAATGAGCATGATTGATAGGAAATACTGAGTCTCTGTGGGTAAAGAGTATGGATTTCAAGTAAAGGACATGAGTGAAGTTGTTGAAAGGTAAGCCGAGGTATATTACAATTTTTTGAGTTTGAGTAAATCAGTTCTGGTGGGGCAGTGCGAGACTGCAAGTGGTTAGCAGCTACTATGTGAGACTGGTCAGTGGTTGGGAGCTACCGATAAGAGGTGGGAGAAAGACTTAACAGAGAAAGTGCAGAAGCAAAGAAAGGACATTTTCTTGGTTGGCTATAGCTTCAAGCCCTGTTGGCGATTGTGATTGGTTATCCTTAGTGTTTTGATTTTGTAACTTTGAGGCATTTACAGGCTTAGGTTTTGGTTTGCCTACATAGGCCGCTGTGGCTTTACAGCCTCATCAGTCAAATGGCCTCCTTGTTTAATTAATTAAACAAGTTATAGAGCTGGGAAAATGCAGCTTTAGCTTGAACCCAGAGTAGAGTAATGAGGGGAGGCTGTAGGAGATAATACTAGAATTTGCAAGTGAGATCATGTCCCTCCTTTGTTTATGGCTTCTCATCTCGTTTAGAGAAAAAGCCAAAGTCCCTATAATGACCTATAAGCTACTACACAATCGTCCCTCTCCCCCAGTTCCCACTGCTCTCTTCCTTCATCCCTCTGCTCTAGCCCCACTGCTCTCCCATTGTCTCTTTATCAGACCAAGACCTTGTTTTTCTTCAGCTTTGTTTCCTCTCCCCGGAGTCCTCCCCTCCCAGGTGGCTGCATGGCTCACCCTTCACTTCTTGCAGGTCACTTTTATCAGAAAGGCCTGCCCTGGTTTCTCTCTATCACCTCCCCTTCCCCTTACTTTCCTTTGTTTTTCTTCATAGTACTTGGAAAGTGCATTTATCGGATCACTAGCATCCTGTGTATGTTTGCTTGTGAATCGTTGCCTTCTCTTCAGCTGTTAGAGATACGTTCTCTGAGGACGAGGACTTACTGCCATGTCCCTGGAAGTCCCAGAACCAGTGCCTGGCACGTAGCTCATACTCAGACATTTATTAGATAAAAAAGAAAAACAGGAGCAGGAGAGAGTGCGAGAGAGGGAATGAGCTGGATATGGATCCTATAGGGTTTTGCATTCCAGGCAGAGGAATAAACATTTAATTCATTAGGTAGTGGCTAGCTATTGAAGGGTTCGAACAGGGAAATGAGAGCGAAAACATTTAGTTTAGGGAAGATTACCAAGGTGCTAATAATGTATAGGATGGGTTTTTTTTTTTTTTAATTCGTGTCAGCCTCCCTTCCTTCCCCAAATCAGCACTAAGTAACATACCTGGATGTGCTTTAAAAAAAAATAACAATTTTGTAGTTTGACTCTCATAAACTGCTAAAATAATTGCCAAAATGGCTAAAAGCAAATTCCCTTCCTGTACTTTTCCCCCTGGTTTGCCCCAACGATAGCATCTTACATGACTGCAGCACATTGTCAAATCCAGGAATGTGACCTTGGTGTGATACTGTTAACTCAGGTACAGGCCTTAGTTGGATTTCATGATTTTACACGCACTTGTGTGTATGTATACATGTGTGCATGCACACATGCATAGTTCTGTGAACTTTTGTGTAGAAAGGTGCGTTTAATGTTTCTACATCTAATTTTGAAGTTTTCTTCGAGATGTTAGAAAATATCCTCTTAAATATCACTCTTGAGGTTGCTGGCTTCCCCCGTTTACATATGAACAAAGTGAATGGCCCATAGTTTTATTTCTTTATTCTTCTGCCTAGGTGTTTCTGGTGGCCTTTCTTTCCTACACCAAAAATGCTTTAAAGCCTTTTCCTCACCAGTATTGCAAATCATATTACTTACCAGATCTTTTTTTTTTTTAACCATTACATTCTTGTTTCTTTCTATTGGTCATTTATCTACTTAACACTTCTTATCCTTTCCCACAGTCAAAGTATTTCTACAGGATTGTTGGCAGGGTTCTATTAAAGTCTTTTCCATTGCCTACTTTACTGTTCTAGTTAAAAATTACATTTCTGGTTAGTAATTTACCAGTAGTTTCAGAACTGTGATGGGTACTGGATGGGAAGGAGATTAAATTGTTTAAAATCTTTTATTCATCCTTTTAAAAATCAAGCTTCTAATGTTTTTAGATAGTCTGCTAGCCATATTATTTTCCTAAAATCCCACTTTATTAGTTTTTATGTATCATGGAAAATATTTGTCTTTATATTATTTACAGACATTCTAAAACAAAGTGTTTAAGTTAAAATTTTATAGTTTAATTTCTACAGCTATGCTAAATATGCATTATATATATGTGTTGTATGTGAGATATACACACACCTATTTATATGTTGCTGATAGTTAAGGTGATAGTTGATGGTCCTCAGTAGGATTCTGGATTAATAGGCAGGCCTGTGTGCAACAGCTGAAGAAAAAGCAAGGTCTATATGAACATACTTAATACTATTTCTTACAGGTTCTGAGTTCTGTCCGCACAGAATGGGATCCACTGGATGTTCGCTTTGGCACCAAACAGCCTTATCAGGTGTTGACAGTGGAGTGCTCCATCAGTGTAGACAAAGAGCCCATGGCTGACAGCTGCATCTATGAATGCGTTCGGAAAAAAATCCAGTGTGTATCAGTCACCAGAATACCACTAAGATCAAAGGCCATTAGTTGTTGCAGGAATATTACCGAAGACAAACTGATTCTGGGCTGTGAAGATTCTTCAGTAATTCTTTATGAAACTCACCGCAGAGTGACTCTCCTAGCTCAGGCCGAACTTTTGCCTTCATTAATAAGCTGCCACCCAAGTGGTGCCATTCTGCTAGTTGGCAGTAACCAAGGGGAGCTGCAAATTTTTGATATGGCTCTTTCTCCTGTTAACATCCAGCTTTTGGCTGAAGACTACTCGCCTAGGGAGACTCTGCAATTCAAAGAATCCTTTGATGTTTCTAGCAGTCTTGTTCACATGCAGTGGACAGCTCCTCAGGTGGTTTCTAAGAAGCCGGAAAGTGGGGACATCTGTGATCTCCTCTTCCTCAGGTTTGACAGAGGACCTTTGGGTGTACTTTTGTTTAAACTTGGTAAGTCAAGGACGTTGGTAAGTTTTACTTTGGTGATAGTGACAGTATAAGACAATAAAACTCTTCTTGGAATGTAGATTTTCTATTTGTCATCCCATAAATATGCTTGCCTTTCAAACATTACATACAGTTTCCTTAAGAAATCTTTGTGGATGATTTTCTAAATGTCAAGGAGCAGTGGATACTGAAGAATTTGGAAGTTGCACTGATTGTCCATTGTAATGAATAAAAAGCCTGAATTTTTAAATTTGGTGCTTTCAGAATACACTGTCTACTCAAAAAATTGCTTAAGAAACACATATGAGAATACTTTAAAAGTACTTACTATGTCCATTAAAAATTCTGTGTTGTAAGAATATAATACTTTTCCCATTAAAATTATTTTAAATTGTAGGTGTCCATTGTTTCCCAGATGTAAAATGTGTAAAGCAAGTGGTTTTAAAAAAGAGAAAGGACATATTTAGTTAGAATTTGCTTAAGATATTTATATAACTTTGTTTTTCTTTTAGATAAAAATAGTCGAAAGGATTTGTCAATATTAGGAAAAATTATGTATTAATGTAGTCCATTTCAACCAGGAAACTTTGAAGCAAAGTTTTATTGTTATGATTTAGCTGCCTTTTGTAGTTTTGCATTACTGGCTATGTCCTGAAATATATGATATTCTTTAGGTAGTTTTGTGTAATTTAACATTCTTGAGAGAACCTCACTTGGGTTTAAAAAAAAACAGATTTTAATTAATTAACATTATTGCAATTTGAAAACATAGAAGAGTACATTTTAAAACTCCTTACAGGATTTGGCTCTGTGGTACAAAGTTAAGTTTTTAAAGACATTGTACTGTTTGTTAAATAGCTGTCAGTTTACTTTTTTTTTAAATGGATCTACTTGCCTCTGAAACTGAACACATTAAGTAAATCTAGTGAAAAAGACGTGATTAACTTGAAAGACATAAGGGATATAATGTAAGGGCTATGCTCTTTCGATGCAATAAAAATGCAGCTAAGTCCATTCATGATGTTAATATTGTCCAAGAAAAGTATGTTTGGAATCTCATTTATTATGAGATAATCCAGTTCTACTTTGCCCGACTACATGTTTAACAGTTGTACGTCTCCATCCACAACACTTATTAGAGTAGATTTTAGATGTTTTGCATGCCTGTTAAAACTCTCTCTCTAAATTAGCCAGTTACCTGTCAAACAGAAGGCTGTCTGCTGACATATACCTAGCTTTTCTTCAGCCCTCCCTTGTGGGCCTCCTCACAACAGCTTTGCAAAAAGCACAGCTTTCTCTTCCTATCTCTAGCACATTTGCCTTCTTTCTAAAGTAAACAGGCTCCCAGTGTAGGGACTTAGAGGGCTTCCTGCTAATTGCCAGCTTGTAAACTTAATTGGACTATCTCCCTGGGCACTGTTCCTAAATCAATTAGGCAATGAGTTGGCTGTCACCTCTTTTTCCCAAGTAGGTCTCTTGGAAGAGAATTATCCAATAGAAGTCAAGCATTCAAATGAAAAGGTGGTAACTTCTGCAACTGACATTTATCTTTTAAATTTTATTTTCAGTATGACTCAAGTTTTATAAGATAGGGAAATTTTACAGTCTTACAGGCTCTTTAAAAGATCTAAATATGAAGTTTCCCAGGATTTTTGAAAATGTATTATAAGATTAATGTTTATTACAGATTATTTTTCCTAGTAGGAGTAGATGCCTTGAAACAGTAGATTCCAACTAACAGATCTTTTTTTTTCCTTAAGAAAACCCTGTTTAAAGAACAGATTTTTCTTAGGATCTGCTACTAAATACATCCAGAAATTTTAATATACTTCTTGAATTAACACAGTGCTGATTCTGGGCATCCATGTGGAATTTTCATGTATAATTCAAGTTACTGCATATATAAACAGGTAGTTGCATGTGCAGTTTCCCCACTAGGGAGCATTTATGAGATTTTTTTTCATATGCTTGTTATGCGAGCCTTTGGAAATTTTGACATGAAAGGTGTAGCTTACAATTTAAGAAGCTGAGATAGATCATAGTTTAAAATAGAATGCTGTCATATGTAAACGTGTCAGTGGTTGCTGCCAATATGCTAAGATTTTTGGAGTTTGACTCTTAGAATAGGTCAGTTAGTGTAATGTTGAAGGAAAACTGTTGCAAGGCGAGAGCTTCCATTCTAAATCCTTATAATCATCACAAAATGTGTTTGGGGTTAAAAGGATATCGCCACTGTTACTAGAAGAATGCAAAACACACGTTTTCCTCAGGAGGGAGCCAGAAGTGTCATCCTCCTACGTGGAAGCAACGTGTAATCAGAATTCCTTTACCTGACCATCATTATCCATATTTCCACAAACACAGACAGGGGTTAATTTTAAAAAGAGGAGTCCCTAATTATACTACTGAGATATTAAAGCTTCTCCATTCTCACCTTTTCCAACCTTCACTGTGCTCCTTAAACTCACATGATCAGCTCCCTGCCCTCTCAACAGAGAACCTCACCTTTTAACTGGCACTTCATTAATTTCATCTGCTTCTCACCACCCACCCACCCACTTACGTACATGTGCTTTAATCGTTCTTTTTCAGTTCAGTGGAAAAGGAGACCTTCCTCTTGTCCAGGACTAGTTCCACTGCTAGTTCCTCTCTGGATCCCAAAACATTCCCTCTGACACCTTTCCTCTGTCACCCTCCCTACCCCCACCATGAATCTGGCTATAGCAGCAGGTACAAACCCAAGCCACACCATAAGACATATGTTCATCTCTTCCTTAAATTTGTTTCCCTCTGTTATTAATCTAATGTCCACCTTTCTTTCATAGTCAAACTCATTGGAATAATAGTAAACACGGAAATTCTTAGTTTCTTTATCTCCCATTCACTCTTCACAGCACCGCTTTTTGGCTCTTGCCTTCAGTGTTCTCCTGAAAGTACTCTTGGAAAGGCCAACAGTGACTTCCTACTTGATAAACATATCTCTTCTGTGTTACTTGATGACTTCTCAGCATTTGATGGTTGCTAACCACTTCCACCGTCATTGAACTCTCATTGTACTGGCCTTCTGTGATCCCAGATGCAACTTTTTGTCATTTTTTAATGCTCTTCTTCTGCCTCCTCGTGAAAATGTTGAGGCTCTCTAAGGTTCCATTTTTAGCTCTTCTCCCATTTTACACAGATGGAGACTTTATTTTTGATTTTGGTATCCCATCTCTGACTTCAGTCCAGACTACTCCTGATTCCACATCCACATATTCACCAGACTTGCTGGGTACCTCCCCTTGGAGGTACACAGGTGCCTCAGACTTATTGCGGCAGACATGAAGTCATCATCTTTCTCCTTGCTTCTCCTCCTGTATTCTCCAGTTTTGGGAGATGGTAGAGTTATTTAGATGGAATCCCAAGTCAAAAGTCATCCTAGAATCCTCCCTCACCCCTAGTGCCATATCCAGTCAGTGACCAAATCCCATCTGCCTTCTAAATACATACTGTCAAAACTGTCTCATTCTATTCAGCCTTGCTGTCATTACCATAATCTAGACCTTCCCTATTGTACCATGATCAAGCAGTGGCCCTCTGTAATGTTCTGCCTTCCACTCTTCCCAACCCACCACTCAGTTAATCCCCTGAATTGCCATCAAGTGCAGATTTGGTCATAGATTCTACACTGTGAAGTCCTTCAGTGGTTAATAAGCCCTGTCTGCCTCTTGGGCTTCACCTCTGCGGCTGTGATGCCCTAGCGTAGCTCCCCAGTCACGGCTTGTGCTCTCACTCTCCTTTGCAGAGTGGTTTGATAGTATTCCATCTACCTAGAGTGCTCTCACAGAGCCTACAAGATCGGGGAAAGCTTAAATGTTCAAATGATGACATCAGACAAATAATTAAAGTTAACTTCTTCCCTCTCATAGGATTTTGAAAATCACAGCAATTTGGATGTGTGTGCATGTGTGTGCGTCTGTCACACTGTCTAAAAAACAAGTAGCATGATTTTTCTCTTAGAACTTGGTAAGAAGTATATTTTCTTCAAATGAATTATTTTTAATGCGTTATTTAAATTTTAGTTTACCCAGGTGGTAGTTTATTGCTGGAAAGACAATCCTTTCTCCATTGAATTAGCTTGACCATATGTGTGTGTGTCTATGAAAAGACTTCTTTCCCACTGATCTGTATGTCTGTACTTAAGTGAGTACCGCACTGTCTTAATTACTGTGACTTTACAGTAAGTCTTGAAGCCAGGTACTGTTAGTCCTCCAATTTTGTTATTTTTCAAAATTCTTTGGCTATTCAAAGATCCTTTGAATTTCTATATGTTTTAAAACTGACTTGTCAGTTTCTACAGGAACACCTGGTGAGATTTTGATTGAAATTACATTGAATCTACAGATCTGCTTGGGGTGGAATGACAGTTTAACAATATTGAGTCTCCCAGTTTATGGAACACAGTATCTATTCAGGTCTTCTTTAATTTCTCTCAGCAGTGTTTTATAGTTTTAAGTATAAAGATCTTGTACATAACTTGTTCATGTTTTTGGATGCAATTGTAAATAGTATTTTTAATTATAGCTTATAATTGTTCATTGGGATTATATAGAAATAAAATTTTAAAATATTGGCCATATATTCTGCAACCCTATTAAACTCATTTCTTAGTTGTAACTTTTTATTGTAGATTACTTAGAATTGTCTATATAGATAACTATGACAACTGCAGTTAAAAATAAGTTTTCTATATTCTTATCCAGCCTGTATGCCTTTTATTTTGTTTTCTTCCCTATTATACTAAATAGGACCTCCAGTGCAATATCAAATAGAAGTGGCAAGAGAGGATATCTTTGCTTTGTTTCCAATTTTAGGTGGAAAGCATTTAATCTTTCACTGTATATATAATGTTATTAAGCTGAGGAATTCCCCTTCCATTCCTAGTCTGCTGAGATATATTATCTTGAGTGGATGTTGAATTTTTTCAAGTGCTCTTTCTACATCTATTGAAATGATTGTATGTTTTCTCTGGTCACAGATAGTGAATAATACTGATTAGTTACCAGATGTTTCAGTGACCTTGCATTTATGGGATAAATCTCTCTTGTTCATGGTTTATTATCAGTTAATATGTTGCCGGATTTGCTAGTATTTTAAGGATTTTTGTTTATGGGAGATAGTGGTCTGCAGTTTTTTTTCTTTTCCTGTAATTTTTTTTTTATCATCTTTGGTCATTTTTGTCATTTTTTCTCATTTTGTTCTTTGTCATTTTGTCAGGGTAAAAGCTGACATCGTTAAATGATTTGCGAAGTATTCCCCCCTCTTATATTTTGAATTGTATAAAGTTGATACTATTTATTCTCTTAGTGTTTGAGAGAATTCACCAGTGAAGTCATCTGGTTTTGTGTGTGTTTCTGTGTGTGTGTATGTGTGAAGGTTTTTTAACTACAAACTCACATTTAAAATCATTCAGGTTACCTACTCATTTCTTCTTGAATGAGCTTTGATAGTTTGTATCTTTCAAGGAATCCATTTCATTTAAGTTATATTTATTTCTATATAGTCTCATTATTCACTTATTTTTAATGTCTAGTGCTGTAGTGATTATTCTTGATATTAATAAATGTGTCTTCACTTTTTTTCTCAATTTAGGTAGAAATTGGGCAGTTTTACTGATTGTTTCAAAGAACCAGCTTTTAAGTTCATTGACTTTTCTCTATTATTCATTCTTGAATTTTTATTTAACTTAGGTCTGATTTGCTCTTCTTCCCTTAGGTTCTTAATGTGGAAACTAAAATTGTTCATTTTAGACCTTACTTCTTTTCTAATTGAAACATGTAAAGCTAGAAATTTCCCTCTAAATACTACTGTAACCATAGCCAGATCTCACAAATTTTGATGTTACATATCTACTGTATTCGCTTCAAAATATTTCCTAGTTCACTTTGTGCTTTCTTCTTTGACCCATAAGTCATTTGAAACAATGTTTATTAATTTCTAAATATTTGAAGCTCTTCCAGATATCTTTCTTTTTTTCTACTTCCTAATTCTTTTACTACATTCTGCTGTTGTCTATGCCCTTGAGGTTATTTACACTTACTTTGTCTGTATGGTAGAAATATTACATAACAGTGTGCAGTGGTGCATCACTCCTTAGCTCCATGTTCAGTGACATCACTTTAGTGTTTGAAGTTAGCCACGGTGGGAGTGTTTACAACACTTATGTTTGCCAGCACACTTAGGATAGAAGGGGAATATTTTCTCCCTTGAAAATCTTGGTGTATAAATCCTTATACACTGAAAATCATCCAGATATTTGCTGTGATCTGAGAACCCATTCTGTATGATTTCAAAGTATTTACATTTATTGAGGCTTGTTTTATCACCCAGAATATATTCCATCTTGGTTGATATTATATGTGCACTTAAAAAGACTGTGTGTTCTGCTGTGGTTGGGTGAAGTGTTTTATAAATGTTAATATTAGGTCAAATTCACCAATAGTATTTTTTAAATATTTTCTATTTTTACTGATTTTGTTTACACTTTCTTTCAGCTAGTCAGAGAGAAGTGCTTAAGTCTCCAAGAGTTAAGTGTAGATGTGACTTTTTCTCCTGTTAGTTCTATCAGTTTTTGCTTTATTATTTTAGAGCTCTGTTATTAGGTGCATTTAAGATTTTTATTTCTTCATGAATTTCCAACTTTTTATTATAAAGTTACAGAATTCTTGGCTAATTCATTTTTCTCTCTCATCATTTTGAAAAGCCCTACAATTTTCTCTGGCTTGTGTAATTTGAGAAGCAAATTTTGCAATTATTCATATCTTTGTTTCTCTGTACATCAGGTGTTTTTCCCACTGGCTGCTTTTTAAGATTCTGTCTTTATCACCTTTTGAACAGTTTGATTGTGATTATATTTTAGCTCTTCCTCTCTGGCTGGAAGTACTGCTTAGGCTATAGACAGAGTTAGTAAATTTCAGATATTTTCGGTTTCTTTCACAGTTCCTACACATTAATGTCTCCTGCCAAAGAACCACCCTGATTTATGAGGACCCTCCAGTGCTTGACTGTAGGCTTATGAAGGCTTTTGGACTGTAGCATTCATTGATTCTACCAACACACACACACACAAAAAAACAGTAAAGTTTTATTGCTTAGTATAGTTAGGGCAATTCCCAGATTCCCGATCAAGTTGAGTCCTGTTAGGTATAGCCCAAGATTTCATTTTTATGTGACTTGAAGTTAGTATGAAGAATTTCAGCATCTTTTTCCTGAATAAATACATTTTTAAAAATCCTGAAACTATTCCAGTTAGTGATGATGATGATGGTGATGATGATGATAACAGTAATGAAGGGTTACAGTAATATTTTATGTATTTTACAGCTTACAAGTGGTTTCACATACATTTTCTCATTTAGCTTTATGATTTTTCATACTGAGTTTTTCTAGATTCACTCAGATCACTAAACATTTGCTAAAGGAAAAATTATAGTCATTTTAAAAATGTTTAAAAAGCCTGCTTTAAAATAGTAGTACTTGTCATTTAATTACACAGAAATTGTTAGTTTCAAATGAGATCAACCATACTTAAAAGATGATAAAATAAAACTAGAACAGAATGCTCCCCTACTTTGTCTTGTGTACTTGTTCCTCTAAGATTAGAAGTGGATTTTCTTTTCATTTTAAAAGGATAAGCAAATATGTTTATGTTGTTCTGAGGTATTTTATAGCAGATCTTAGTTGTGAAGGGGATCAATAGAAGATTAATACTAATGATTTCTTACTCATAATTACTAATAGAAGAGAATAACCTCTAAATGCCAATTTAAAATAAATTGGTATGGGTATCTATGAAGACACTATCAGTTAAGTCTTAATAAAAACAGTCTTAAAAGCATTTATATAGTCAAATTATATTTGTCTTAAGTATTTGTACGTTTTTGACTCCAATGTACTGAAGACAAGATCTAACTTAGAACTAATGAAGCTGGTCAATAAGAATTGTGTTGCATCAGAACTCTGCCTTTAAATATATACAACAGAGGCCTCAATGACAAATCAGAAAAATAAAGTTAGCTATTGTGATTTACCTAAAAATCTCGCATTTATTCATTTTTAGTCTAAACAGTTTCATTATGTGGAGTTTAGATTAGTTTGTGCTGAATGATAAGCGTAGGCTAGATAAAGTCAGTAAACGATACTTAAAATGAAGATTTAACCTCAGCCAGATTATTCTTATTGTTTCCTTTTTTTCCCCTTACAGAAAAGTTAACTCTGTTTTTGTGATTCTACTTTGTATTTTTAAAAGATTCACTTGATTTTACATTTTTTGTGACAGGTATCTTCACACAAGGACAACTGAGCCCAGTAGACATCATCTTCCAGTATATTCACTGTGATGAGATCTTTGAGGCAATAAACATCCTGAGTAGTATGAACTGGGACACTCTGGGCTACCAGTGCTTCATCAGCATGAGTGCCATCGTAAACCATCTTCTTAGACAAAAGCTCACTCCAGAGAGAGAAGGTCAGACTTGAAATATATTTCATAATAGGTTTTGTATATAATGAAGCATATTTTATTGCCAGTTATTTTTTGAGAATGTTTTTGTGTTGTGTTACTAGAGATTAGAAGACAAAAATGTAAATGCCCTATATTAAACTGACAAAATCAGATATCAAATAATTACTCCCATTTGGTACTTACTGTATAGTATTTGTCAACATAAACAACTTTTCTGTACATACCTGTGCTGGAACTCACAGTGCAGTCATTGTACATTTCAGTCTAAGCTCATCTGTAAAATATGCTCAGATTTCAAATGTTGATCAAGAATTTCATGTACGTCTCTACAGTCTGGTAGACAGAAGGCCCTAAACAAAATCCTTATTTCTCCTTCACTTTAGACATAAGTATTTTTCTCTCACACCCAAGTTCTTTGTCCAGACAATAGACGTGTGAGTGTGCGCGCGCGCGTGCATGCTGTAGCCCAGGTGTTCCTTTCTGTTTTAATTCTAAATTAAAATTCTGATTCCCCTTTCCCTTTTGTCTGCTTGGATTTCTCAGCCTTCTCTTAATAAGTAATTTTGCCCATTGGATCTCAGATGTTTATTGTCAAAGACAGATAAAACACTGTTTTAAAAGAGAAAAAAATATATGTGCCACATACTTGAAATTACTCTATTTCCCAGTTATCCAGTATATGTTATTTTTATTATGAGTAATTTATTAACTTAATGTAGAATGCACCTAAACATTCTTGCATTTGTATCTTTACTTCAAATCTTTGCAATAAGCATTGACACTAATGGTGGGACATCATGGCTAATGAGGAATTGTCTCTAGGTAATTTATAAAGTAGGAAAAGCAGGAAATAATGTCAAAAGGGCTTTAATGAAGAACTTTTTGCCTACTATTTTCTTTCCATGTTTACAGATTTTCTTATTCCATTATAATATGTTTCTAAAGTAAACAAGTTTAGACAGAATTCTGCATAAACCTTCATTTTAGTAATTTTAGAGAATAATCAGTAAGAACATGTTCTTTCAAGAAATCTGCAACATGAGACTTGGCCCAACTCATATGAGGCCCACAATAAATATTTATTTGATGTTAACTGAATGTGCTTTTTGGAGTCCAGCCCATGTATGGAGATTCCAGGACTTCTACAATGAGAAAATGTCCAGCATAGTGCTTGGCCCACAGTAGGTATTCAATGAATATTAGTTAAAAATAAAAAGTTAACTTCAAAATCTTAGGGTTCTAGGATTACTATAATATTTCTACCTGCAGGGTGAGCTCAAGTAATTATTTCCTAGTATTGATTCACTCTTAAGATTGGGAACATAGTAAGGGGGAAAAAAGCAGCAGAGTCCCTAAAAAAAACCTGTTATGGTACACATAATTCATGCAAGAGATCCTAAATTTACAGTTGAAGAACTATAAAGAAGATAGAATACTGACTTTCTGTCAGGATGCTGAAAAACTGGTAACACATTTTTGTGTTGTAAGATCCCTGTGAAAGATTATTAGTGAATTCACAAGTGGGCATTACCAGACTCCTGCCTTAATAAAGGGTATGTTCAAGGAACCATATTGAGTAGATAGGGAAATAAAAATCTTGTATGATACTAGGCTATTAAAATAAAATGCTTACATGATGCTGGGTTATCAGAATATGTACATTTTAAGTAAGTATATGCATTTCCCCCCAAGTAACTGCTAACACATTTGTAAAACATTCAGAATTCTTCTCTACTGAGATTTATTCTATCTGAATCTAACAAACTTGACATGGTAATTTGTTTTCCTTTTATTAGTGGAACCCAGTGAGCTCTTTTATTTGTAGCCGTGTTGTGGTTATCTTTGAGATCTTCATTTCTGCCTTAAACATCAAGCTGGGCTATCTAATGAATCTATAACTGTGCTGGGAGTTACAAGTATTCCATGGAGGCTCAAACATTTCAGACGTACGAAACATGCTGTCAGGAAAACAAGCAATGGCAGGAGAATCTGGCTTGTTCTCACAATAGCATTGCTGTATTCAATTTTAATCTAAATTGACTGCTGCTTTGAAAGAAAATACCCCTAAAGTTCATCTTACTCTACTGTCTAGAGATTAAAAAAAGAAATTACTAACAGCTTAGCCAAGTCCATAGCAATTACTCTGATGAGGTATTTAATACTTTCAAACCTAAATATGCCTCAAACTAAAGAGTTTTGCTAAATAAGGAATTGTTTATTCAACCCAGTGCTAGTAGCATAAAAATCAGTGGAGTCTGACTGTGAACTGTATTCTCATGCAGCTCACCGTTAAGATAATTATATAACTTCCAGGTATTTCTGGGTGGAAACACAACCCCACTGGCATGTGTTGGTAAACTGTAAAGCAGGCAAAATGTGCCTTTTTCTCCCAATCACTAGCCCTTTGGTTTATCAAAACCTGCTCTCTAGTGCTTCTTTCCTAGGAGGGTGTCAGTTGACCTGAGCAGATTAGCATGCCATCCCTCCCAGGGGTGTTAGCTTTCACACTTGGACAAAGCCAACAGTCTTGTTGTTTAGGACAGGATTTAGGGAAGGTATAGGGATTTTCGATCTTTCTTTAAAATTGTAATAGATATTATTACTCCAGTAAGGCTATTTTTATGTGTGTTATTTTTTAAACATCTAATACTGATTTCAATTGCTAATGCAGAAAGGTTAGTTTTCTCCTTTCAGCTAAAGAGAGTAAATGTTGAGTACATTGTGAGTTGATTTTACTGGAAATACTGTTCAAACTGTGTTGCTCTGATGACTCACTGTTTTAATTACCCATTTGTGGTGAGAGGTTGATTCATTATGGATTTCTTCAGTTTTGACAGCTTTTTGTTGCTCAGAGTCATTGTCAGCTTTGCCTCAAGTGAAAGTTTATACACAGGTTTGTTTTTGTACCAGCTGTCATATTTTAATTTCATCTTTCCTGCAACAAGCTCACATTTCATCCAAGTTTGCAAAACCTGACTGACTGCAAACATGAGTATTCTGTTGTAATTGAACGAGTTTCACTTGTTTCAGTGCTTCTATGTTTGAATTCCACAGCACAGCTTGAGGCAAGCCTTGGAACCTTCTATGCTCCAACAAGACCACTCCTGGATACAACTATATTGGAATATAGAGACCAAATCAGCAAATATGCAAGGAGATTCTTCCACCACTTGCTCAGGTGAATGATATCTTTGGATTACTTAGTGTCAGACTAATTACTTATTTAAGGAGCCATCTTCTTTAATTAGAATATTCCATAATATGGCTATCTGTTTTCTGACAGTCCATCCCATAAGAGGAAAACAAATCATATCTTAATATTCTTTAATTCATCCTTGTTTTCCTTTTAAGGACTATATTTGAATATTGTTTAGGGCTTTTACATCGTTAGTACACTTTAATATAATTCCCCATTTGGTATGAAAGCAAATAATATCACCTATCTAAATCAACTTAAAAATGTTAATTGTACTCTTGGCACTAGAAAAATGTTTGTTTTAATTGTAGCTAAAAATGTGAATGTGCTATAAACGTCTGAGACAGTCACTGGTCTGCTTTACTTTCAGAATTACTATAGAAAGATTTGTTCATTGTCCTCTTATATAATGTGGCAAGCTGCTCACTTCACTGTGCCTCATTTTCTTTGCTTTAAATGTGTAAAATAGATTCCTTTAATCTTAGTGATTAGATACAAAAAAATAGATAATGTCAAGAAATTACTCTGAGACAAATACTGTATAAGTTGAAGAACAAGTACACATAGCATATTCTATATGTACAAAATTCAGAAAAGTTAGATGGATAGGTGGAGATGGATGGATGGATGGAGAGAGTTAGTTACTTTAGGGGTACATTTAAATGTGTTGATGCTATAAGTAAAAGCAAGGAAGTGACTAGCACAAAATTTAGGATAGTGTGGAATCGGTTAAGAGAAATATGATAGGAACAGGCACATGGGAGCCTCCAAGGTATTAATAATGTTCCATTTCTTAGGATGAGTGGGGTATATATCAGGGTCCATTAAAAATTACTACTTTCTTAGCTGAATTTATGCATTTTTTATACTTTTATAAATGATATAGTTGGGTACTTTTGTAAATGATATATTTTATAATAGAAAGTAACAATTTTCAATTTAATGTGCTAAAAATAAGTATTACGTAGAATTTAGAGTTTTATTTTTATAGTATAAGCTGTTCTTTTTAACTCAAGTGATTTCATGTAGTCTCCCCTTTTTCTCCTCACAGCCCTGTTAAAGGGAGTATTATTATCATTTGACAAATAAGTAAGCTATTTATAAAGTGGCACTTTGACGGGTACCCAACAGTGAAACCATTAGAAAACAGTCTTTTTAGAAGCTGAGAAATGTTAATATATTGCACAAGTTATGATCTGCCGTTGAATATTGCCTTTTTATCTGAACAACATTAGTATATTCCAAGAGATTCTCCACCCTAAGTGAGGCAGTCTTTTATAGATGACTATATGACAAATCCTAGGGCTAATGTCACATTTATTTGGACTTAGACCTTTGTTCTTGATTTATTTTTTTGTTTTCCCTGTTCCTGGTGAAAATTAATGAGAAGCAGACATTTTGGTGGCATACTCTTGGTGGCCTCACTGTGTCTCTGGCTTCTCTGACTTCATGCAGTGATTTGGTTGTGCATAAACGTCACATTTTATAATGTTCATATCCTGCTAATACTCACACATGCTACTAATGTGCAATTTTTTGTTCATTTGTTTTAATCAAATACAGTATTCTTTCTAATTAGTTTTGGATGTATTTTGATGAGGTGACTATTACTATCATTATTATTAGACTCTAGTGTTTCCGTGTAGTTACATCTGGAATTGAACGTTTTCCTTTAGGGTATACTACGTTTTTCAAGTTTCCTTTTTTGCATGCTTTGCTACTCTTTCAAATATAATGAGTGTTTATTAGTTCTTTTGACACTGGGCTGTACGTAGCATTATGAAAAAAGAAACGGAAATTTAGAAGAAATTGAATGAGATAGTTTAAGTTGGAACCATTTTTTTGTTTAATCTGCTGCCAAGAAATTCTCTTGCTTAAGGGAAGAGAAAAAGGCCAAATACTTTGTTGTATTTGTAAAGTGCTAGGATTGCATTACCCCTTGTATGTTGGTTAGTCAGTATTTTAATACTCTAAAGAAAAAGTTATTTAGATAATGGAATAAGTCCTAAACAGTAAAGATTATCATCGAGAATATTAAATTAAAGATGAGGAAAAGGAGCACCATGCCAGGTAGGAAAATAGCTGGCATCACTCACTGGTAAAGGTGAGGACTCAGGCTGCCCGAGTCCAGATTGGACTCTCTGGATAAACAATAAAATACTACATTGATTTTAATTTCATAAAGTATGCAGGGTGAAGTCATAGTACTAAATTTGTGATGACAGACAAGTATACTGCATGGGTTTTTTAAATAAATGTTTTTTGGATACAATTTTGTTTTTATGTTGACAGTACAGGAAGTACACGGACATCTTCTTGTTTCTCGGCCTTTTTTGTCTTTAGTAAGTATGGAAAATTGTCTTGACAGTCTTCCTTCAAAACCAAATGAATCTAAACTTTAAAACTTACTTCCCATGTCCTTATGTGACACCTTTTTGTGTGTGTTGGAAGTGGTCAGTTTTTGTAAAGAAATGCTTCTTATAAATGTAAACTGTTGAGCCTAACATTAAAGGTAGAAGGCAGTAGGAGTACGATCTTGATAGAGTAGCTAAATAAAGTGGTTGTTATAATAAAGTTTTAAAGAGATTATACAGTTTAATTCATTGAGCTGGAAGAACTTACCAATGAAAGGTGTCTTGAAAAAAGTTCAGTTGTGTTATCCTTTACTCTCACACTCACAATGCTCTGATGCCAGATGTTGGGGTTTTTTCCCACACTGACCAATTCTCTGACACCAACTGGGTGTTCTGCAATTCAATTCTGACATTAACCAGAGTTAATGCAGGCCCCACATGTTAAGGGCTCAGTCTCATAAGACTACCCCTACGTCAGATGCCATTCACAAGTAACAGATCTCCAGGTTACTTACAGCTTCTATCTGACTTGGCCACAAATCGGAGGTTGCTACTATTCCCTTAACAGGTTCATTAATATTCCTAGAATGGCTCACAAAACCCAGGGAAAAGCATTTACTTACTGTCACCAATATTTTAAAGGACACAAACAGCAGATGAAGAGTTGCACAGGGCAAGTTATGTGGGAAAGGACTCCAAGTCGCCATGCCCTCTCCCGGTGCACCACCTTCCCAGCACCTCCACGTGTTCACCAGTCCAGAAGCTGTCTGAACCCCCTCCTTTTGGGTGTTTATTGAGGCTGTATTACATAGGCATGATTGATTAAATAATTGGCCATTGGTGATTAATTCAACCTCTAGCCCCCTTTTCCTCCCCTCTGCCTGGAAGTCCAGGAGTGGGGCTGAAATTCTAACCCTCTGATCATGTGGCTGGTTTCCTTGACAACCAGCCCGCTTCTGTAGAGTCTTTCACAAAGTCACCTCGTTAATATAAACTCAGGTATGGTTGAAAGGGACTTGTTATGAATAACAGAAAACTTTTACTTTCACCTTTTTGGCTCCTTATCACTTAGGAAATTCCAAAGACTTTTTAGGAGCTCCATGTCACAAACAGGACAAAGATCAAATATATATTTCTTATTATAAATCACAGTATCACAGAAGGCACATGCAACTTTGCCTAAACTAAGTTCAGAAGGTGATTGTTCACCTCTGCCTCCATGAAATTGAACAGTCCTCCAGAATTACTGAATAGGGAAGTATTAACAAGTAAGAGCTTTTTATTATAAACAAATAGGGAAACTATAATAGGAGTTCCTAGATATTGATGAAATAAAAAGGCAAAACACTTCAAATGAATGTGCTACATATGAAGCTTATTTTACTAACATGGAAATCGATTATAAAGGACTAGTAGTTAATTCAGTTTTACTTGTTTATTTCCCCTATTAACAATAAGACTATTGTTTTCTGACCCAAATGGTATTATGTGATTGTGGCACAGAGAGTCATGTTTTTTAAACATTTATGAAATAGTAAACAAAATGTTGGGAAAGGGAGCTTTATTGTCTAGAAGTAAAAATACCATGTTTATGAAATAGTGGTTGGAAAATGTATTGATGTCTGCATTTTCCTTGGCACTGCAACAAAAAAATAAGATGAACTGATGGATGGAAAGGGAGTTGTATAGATATGTGATAAAACAGTACTGTAAAATGATGATAAAATCTAAGTGGTAAAAATATATGTTCTGTCAACTTTCCTGGATGTTTGAAACTTTTTATAATATGTTGGAGGATAATATATATTATGTTAGAGTCAATATTTATACTTAGAAATCAGGAAAAAAGTAGTCTTTTAGAAATGGCACTTGGCTTATGCAAAATATATATGCTAGTCAAAAATAAACTGTTTTGTGACTAAAAAGTTGTTAACCAATTTGATTTCTAAATGGCTTTTTAAATTTTACTTTTCACTAATGGAGCATGATGTAAATAAAACAATTATACACAATCCAAAGAACAGTTACCTCAGGATATTTAGGGACTCAGAATTATCTGCAGAGAAAAACTTTCTGGTCAGATCATCCATTTAATAGGTATTATATTTAAAATTTTTGTTTAAAGCATGGTTGAGCTGGAAGGAAACTAAGGGAAACACTCAAGTTGAAATGACAAGGATGCTTGATTCCACAAGAGTAAGCAAAGTGCCTCAAGGGCATCTGCTGGCACCTGGCAGTGAGGTGCTTGGTTTATAAAGGCTGTGTACTCAGAGGATTGGAGACAAAGCCTAGGGCTCAAGCAGAGTGGGAGATTGGATCAGACATTCCCCACATCAAACTAAGACCCTTGAAGAGCGGCATCTTCCCTAAGAGAACTAGAAGGAAGGAAGGTATGAGATACAAGAAAGAATGGTAGGCAAAGAATAATGTTAAACTTGTGGGAACCTAAAGAAAAATTAATCCTATAAAACATAAACACTAATATCTAATCTAAGTGGTTAAAAGTTAACATAAAATAGATAAGATAAAGTTAAGATAAAAAGTTAAGACAGTGGCAACATATAAATCAGAAGAGGAGTGAAGAAGTTAAAGAACTCTGAGGTCTTTGATTTTTCAAGAGGAAGGTAG